CTAGAACAGTGGTCGGCAAACTCATTAGTCAACAGAGCCAAATATCAACAGTACAACGATTGAAATTTCTTTTGAGAGCCAAATTTTTTAAACTTAAACTATATAGGTAGGTACATTGTTATTAACTTAATTAGGGTACTCCTAAGGCTTAGGAAGAGCCACACTCAAGGGGCCAAAGAGCCACATGTGGCTCACGAGCCATGGTTTGCCGACAACTGACCTAACCAGAAAGTCCACTTGGCATCATGTTTGCCTCCGTCCCAGCAGTCCTGGGATTGATTACCTTTAAGCCTCCGCATCTATTAAGTTCCTGAAACCTGTCTCCCAGGCAAGTCAGGGCCAAAAAGAAGGTTCCTCAGCCACTGCTATCCCACCATGGGCACACTGGACCCCACTGCTATCCCACCATGGGCACACTGGACCCCACTGCTATCCCACCATGGGCACACTGGACCCCACTGCTATCCCACCATGGGCACACTGGACCCCACTGCTATCCCACCATGGGCACACTGGACCCCACTGCTATCCCACCATGGGCACACTGGACCCCACTGCTATCCCACCATGGGCACACTGGACCCCACTGCTATCCCACCATGGGCACACTGGACCCCACTGCTATCCCACCATGGGCACACTGGACCCCACTGCTATCCCACCATGGGCACACTGGACCCCACTGCTATCCCACCATGGGCACACTGGACCCCACTGCTATCCCACCATGGGCACACTGGACCCCACTGCTATCCCACCATGGGCACACTGGACCCCACTGCTATCCCACCATGGGCACACTGGACCCCACTGCTATCCCACCATGGGCACACTGGACCCCACTGCTATCCCACCATGGGCACACTGGACCCCACTGCTATCCCACCATGGGCACACTGGACCCCACTGCTATCCCACCATGGGCACACTGGACCCCACTGCTATCCCACCATGGGCACACTGGACCCCACTGCTATCCCACCATGGGCACACTGGACCCCACTGCTATCCCACCATGGGCACACTGGACCCCACTGCTATCCCACCATGGGCACACTGGACCCCACTGCTATCCCACCATGGGCACACTGGACCCCACTGCTATCCCACCATGGGCACACTGGACCCCACTGCTATCCCACCATGGGCACACTGGACCCCACTGCTATCCCACCATGGGCACACTGGACCCCACTGCTATCCCACCATGGGCACACTGGACCCCACTGCTATCCCACCATGGGCACACTGGACCCCACTGCTATCCCACCATGGGCACACTGGACCCCACTGCTATCCCACCATGGGCACACTGGACCCCACTGCTATCCCACCATGGGCACACTGGACCCCACTGCTATCCCACCATGGACACACTGGACCCCACTGCTATCCCACCATGGACACACTGGACCCCACTGCTATCCCACCATGGACACACTGGACCCCACTGCTATCCCACCATGGACACACTGGACCCCACTGCTATCCCACCATGGGCACACTGGACCCCACTGCTATCCCACCATGGACACACTGGACCCCACTGCTATCCCACCATGGACACACTGGACCCCACTGCTATCCCACCATGGACACACTGGACCCCACTGCTATCCCACCATGGACACACTGGACCCCACTGCTATCCCACCATGGACACACTGGACCCCACTGCTATCCCACCATGGACACACTGGACCCCACTGCTATCCCACCATGGACACACTGGACCCCACTGCTATCCCACCATGGACACACTGGACCCCACTGCTATCCCACCATGGGCACACTGGACCCCACTGCTATCCCACCATGGACACACTGGACCCCACTGCTATCCCACCATGGACACACTGGACCCCACTGCTATCCCACCATGGACACACTGGACCCCACTGCTATCCCACCATGGACACACTGGACCCCACTGCTATCCCACCATGGACACACTGGACCCCACTGCTATCCCACCATGGACACACTGGACCCCACTGCTATCCCACCATGGACACACTGGACCCCACTGCTATCCCACCATGGACACACTGGACCCCACTGCTATCCCACCATGGGCACACTGGACCCCACTGCCAACCCACCATGGACACACTGGACCCCACTGCCAACCCACCATGGGCACACTGGACCCCCTGAATGAGACCTCCCTGCCCTCGTTAACTTACCCAATGTGCCCACCTAACCTGATAGGAGAGAGAAGCAAATTAAAATTGGGTTTTACAAAAGGCAAAGGTTTAAACACTTCTCTAATAACATTTGGAGCAATGGTCTGAAGTTACTTTCTCTGAAGGAAGTTCGTGATGGTTTCGTGGGACTGAAAGTTTCTAGAAGTTTCCTAGGAAACCACAAGAACCATATCCCTATAGCAATGACCTTGGACGTCCCACCCCCAAGCCTGGGAGGGAGGCCAGCAGGCCTGCTCCCGAGTGACTGCGGGTGCTGAGAACACATTTGCAACGTCAGTGTCACCGTCGCAGGAAGACACAGTTATCGTTAAGGATCGCAGATCCGCACCTGCCGGGACCCCAAAGACGCTAGGCTCAGTGTAGCTGCTAGTTACAGAGCAAAGCCAAACGGGATGGAATTTCTCTGCATAAAACACAGTACTAACCCGACATGACCTATTCAAAGGTCACGGGGCTGTAGTCACGGCAGGAAGGGCAGAGTGGAGGGATCCAGCGCCGAGTTTGGGGGTGGGGTGGGGTGAGACCCCGGGCCTAGTCTGGGGCCGTGTCTGCTCTGCTGACAAATCAACACCTCAGCCAGCCAGCCCGGGGCACCACCGCCATAACGTCTCTCAAAGTTCCACAAACTCACATTCACTAATGACTACTCCACGTGGCTCCCCACAGCTGTGTTAGGGGACATCATTACCATCACCACCTGCACCCTCCTGAGGCTCAGGAGGCTGAGTTCCGGGCACTTCGGAGGC